TTAGTTGCAATGTTGACCTTACAGGAAAATTTGATTTGGTTCTTGTCCAATTTGGTTTGCCATCAGAATCATGGAAAGAATTAAGTTCATGAACTGAAGTACCACTGTAATTAGTATGTGGATGGCAACTCAGAATCTGTTCTTGTGTTTCTGATTTTGTTGTTGTTGTTGTTGTTTTTCCAGTACCAGGAATCGAACTCACAACCTTGCGCTTGCCAGGCAGGTGCTGTGCCGCTGAACTAAATCCCCAGCCCGTTCTTGTGTTTCTGAAATACAGCTTTCTACCTTCCTTTTTACACTTGGATTATCTTTCCATATCTCTTTTCTATCTTCAAGTAAGTAAGAGAGATTCTCCACAAGATTCTCATTTTCCTCTCCACATTCCTCTTAGAGAACTACTAAGTTCCATACCACCAAATAACACTTCTAGGAAAAGCAGGCCCATGATTTTCTCTGGTCTAGCTCTTTCTCTTGCACTGCAGGCCAACTGCAGATCAAAACCCCATGCTGATATCTCACCAGCACCTCAGAGTTCCTTGTCAGTCCCTCCTTCCAGGAAGCCCTCTTTCTTCTTCAGGTTCTTCTACTCCATTCATTTGTGGAAAAGCACTACCAAAAGTGGTCACTGATTCCATGGGAAAATAGATCTGAGTATGGGTGTGAGCAGGACAGAGGGAAGGAGGGACAATGGAAACAACTGGTGGTGCTGGCAGGAAGAGTGCACCTTTAGGGTGCAAGGGGCACTAGACACTCAAGCCATCTCAAGGTCTGGGGCTGGGAAAATGATCTATTCTAACAGACACCAGCGTAGGTCCCAGAATAATCTCCAAATCCGTCCTTCCATAGTTAAAATTTTAGGAAGCCCCTAAGGAGTCAGCTACTTCTGTGGAGTTATTGATGGCAAGGCCGGAAGGGGCTCTGCACTCCTTTTCAGGTAGCTAGAGCGGTCTGGGAACAGGTCCCTGTGCATGAATACTAGACTACAGCCACTTCTGCACTTGGGGAGGGGCTTGCCTGAGCAACGTTATTCAGAAAGGTATCTTAAATTAAGGGCAGCATAGAAGAGACAGCAATTTTTATTTTTGTTTTTCATCTACCATATAGCACTTCCCAGTATTCTCGGGGGAAGGATCTTTTTTTTTTTGAGACAGGGTCTCACTATACAGTTCAGAGTGGCCTTGAGCTTACTTTGTAGCCTCGAACTTGCAATGATACTCCTGCCTCAGCCTCTCGAACGCTGGGATTACAGGCATGCACCACCATGCCTGGCTCGAAGCCTGCTGTGGTGGAAGACAGAGCTTACCTGCCAGGCAAACCTCTGAGATGTTCTGGGTACAGAGTCAGCAGGCCTGGGAAGCAGAGAGAGAAAATGTATACACTGGCCTCATGTGCTTTGCCCAAATCAGAGTTCAGGAAACCAACTGTTATTAATCCATGGAACTTAGAGGAGATTTTCTGTAAAATGTTAAATGAAATGCTGGATAGTGCTGAAGTTTCACATGAGTGTCAGCATTCCAAAAAGAACCATACTTTATTCTGACAGGCAAGAATAAAGCCCCCACACCCAAGATAGATCTGGTCAACCCAATCTTGAGAGGCCACATAAACAAATGGACAATGGTTGCACCCATATTAAAAACAGACCTCCAAACCATTATCTACAGTACCCAGCCTAGAAGTCCCCATGCTATCTATAGTGAGACATGTAGGATGTCTATGCCATTGTCTCTATCAAGTAGCCCAGGCAGGAATCCAATAACCCCTGTAACTCTCCCAAATGACATGAACTTGATTAATAACTTCCAGCTTTCCTAATTTTATCACTGTTTCAATTTAGGACAAATTGGAGAAAGCCAGATGGTCTCCTACCCAGTCACCTGAGATGCACAACTCCTAACTATCTGCTGCTTTCCCTGTCACCAGCCCTATCCAGGGAAGACCAGAGGACACCCCTCCTTCCTACTCCAAAGCTTTGCCACTGCTCTGCCTGCCTTTGAGTATCTGCCAAAATACAAGGGGTGGTGCCTGAATCCCTGCTTACAGCATGCTCTGAGTAAATAGCCTTTACTTGCTCTTGTTTGGGAATCTTCCTTTATTTCCATCCCTGGAAGCAGCATCCAGTTATCAACCCCTCATGCCCAGAATTCCTCCAACCCTAGCAGCTTTATACTGAGGGGGATGAAGACCCACGCACATAGGTAACCATAAAGGGAAAAAATGGCTAGAAATGTCAACCTAGCCCCTCACTCTTAAATATGGACAGACAGCCAATGTCACCAGATAGGCAAAACCCAGCAGCACACAGGAGACAATCAGAACAGAACAGAACAGAACAGAACAGAGTGACCTTGGATCAAACATCATTCTGAGACTAGAAATGCCTTTTGAAAAGTAATTCTAATTAGATCTTCGGTGAGACGTAAGAAGATATTACTTCCATAAAACCCAAACCAGCAGGCTGTGAAAAACAAGGGACTAAAAAGAGTCTCCTGGAAATTAAAAATGGACTGCCAAAATTTAAAAGTTGGAAGATTAAAATGAGAAACTCTGACAGAACAGAGAGCAAAAAAGATAATCTGAATGTGCAACATAAAAGATAAGCCACTCCTTGTAACGTGCTTCTAGCTAAGTCCAGAAATGGCTAGAAGTGGATACATCTGAGTGGGGACCTTGGAGCTGGAGCAGTGGACTGGCTAGGGCTCTTTGGCTTTGGCTCAGAAGTCCTTTGGCTTTTGGCCAGGTGCATAGATTGCTTTGATTGAAAGGATAATCTACCCACAATTCGGAGAGTTCACTCCACCCCTGCCAACCACAGGAAGGAGTATGGCTCAGTCTCCCTCCTGCCTACGCCCTCTCTCAGGGGGAGCTAGCCTTCCCTTTCCCTACAACCTCTGACCTGTTTCAGCTCCATTTAACTACCTACCAGTCTCTTCAGTGCAAACCTACGAGCTGGAGCTATGGGATCACACTTTTCTGGTTTCAAGCCTATTTATGTTTATGTTCTAATTTGAAAAAAGTGGACAATAAGAATGCCTGTCACAACTTCTATGAGGATCAAATAAATTGCCTAGCACATGTCACACACTCACAGAGGCATGCCCTGGGTTCATGACAAATGATTAATAAATAATAAATGCTATCAGGACTCCCAGAACTAACTTTTCTTTGTTTGACCCAGTTTTTAATCTACTTTGGCTACTTTTTAATATTTGTCCCCTAAAATACTTAAAAAGTTATCAAACTCAACTTTATTAAGTGAAGTAAATACCTCAGACACTGTGTTTGGTCCTTGATTCTGAAGAGATTTCACTGATTTGTAGTTTTCAAGCCATTACTGAGTTGTGTTTTGTTTTTTGGTTTTTTTTTTGTTTTGTTTTTTCTAAATAGGCTCTCAAAAGTTGTCCAGGCTGTCCTGTATCTTTGATGCTGCCTCACTAGCTGGGATTAAATTTGAAAGTCCTGCTGCTTATGGTCAGTACCTTGAGGCCTCACCTCGGTTTTGATTATAGTGTCCCCTTCTATTCTCAGTGCATGACTTCCTCCACCAGGCGTATGCCCTTTGTGAGTTCCTCTCATTACCCAAACACAGGAAGGAGTACGGCTTCCTTGCAGACTTCCTATGAAGAGATTTGTCCCTATACCCACTGTCTCTTACTGTAGGTCTTGGGTGCTATGTATGGCTTTGTGATTGTAGTACTTGATCTGTGACAAGGCTTGCTCTGTGAATGAGCAAGTTCAAGATAGGTACAGAAACAATGGAGGCCAAGTTTCTTTGATGAGCAGAGTTTGCTAATGTATGGCAGGAATGAGCACTTATTTCGGAGGTCAGCCAACTCAGGGGCTAGAACTACCTTTGACACAGAAAAGGTCATAAGGAAGACACCATCTAGTGCTGGGAGGGGCTGAGCTTCAGGATCCACAAAGTTCCCAGAAGGCAGGCCAGGTGCCAGGCCACTCACAGAAGAGACTTGAAGTTGTACCCATTCTCCAGTTCAATTTGATGCTTCTGTCTCCTTCTGGGGATCATGCCTCAGAAGCACACACTATATCCTAGCAAACAAGGTCACTGGCTTTTTCCTTGTTCTTTTTGTAACTTCA